GATTCATGAAAACAAAGCAGCACACATTCAACCATCTTCAAACTGTCACATCACTCATTCACATCTCTGATGTCAGGTGTCATCATCAAAGTGTCAATCAATGAACAGATGATGGATCAATAACTGCAACTGGATTGTGTTTGTTCTCTCCATCAGATTCCTGTCAACTTACAATCGACACAAACACAGTAAACAAAAGACTCAAACTGTCTGACAACAACAGGAAGGTGATGCGTGTGGAGAAGGTTCAGTCATATCCTGGTCATCCAGACAGATTTGATGTCCGTCCTCAACTGCTGTGTAGAAATGGTCTGACTGGTCGGTGTTACTGGGAGGTCGAGTGGAAAGGCAATGTTTATATATCAGTGGGTTACAGAAGAATCAGAAGGAAAGGAGACAGTGATGACTGTGTGTTTGGATACAATGATCAGTCCTGGAGTCTGTGGTGCTCTAATGTTCTTGGTTACTCTGTCTGGCACAATAACAGAAAAACATCCATATCCTCTTCCGTCTCTAACAGAGTAGCAGTGTATGTGGACTGTCCTGCTGGCACTCTGTCCTTCTACAGAGTCTCCTCTGACACTCTGATCCACCTCCACACCTTCAACACCACTTTCACTCAAACTCTTTATCCTGGATTTAGTATCTGGTCTCCTGTTTCCTCAGTGTGTCTGTGCTGAGTTGAGTATAAAGAGTGTCCTCCTGTTAGAGAAACACTCTGACTGTTGAACAGATAGTTCAGTCCGTACATGTCTGTCTCTTTCACTCAGAAACACGTTTTCAGATTCACGGATTCAATCAGTTGATGTTTTAAACTGATTGAATCCTCTTCAGATGGGTCATAATGCATGTGGCTTATCTAATAAACAGCAGACGCTGCATTGATTATTTGAAACTAGTCTTGTCTTAATCGTGCACCTTTTGTGTTTCATGTTAGAAAAATTGCTTTGAATCTTCAAAGACAAAAATATAAAGGGTCAAGACAATCCCTAATTTCAAATAAAGAAAGAACAGCACCAGCTTTGGTTGAGTCACCTCCAAAAAACCTCTTAAATGGCATCTACTGTCTGGAAATGTTTGTAAACTTCCCTTGCCATCTATCCCCAAAGGTTCTCAATTAGATTTAAAGCAGGGGAACATGCAGGTTGGTCCAAAAGAGTGATGTTATTCTCCTGGAAGAAGTCCTTTGTCATGCAGGCATTGTGTACTTTAGCGCTGTCCTGTTGAAAAACCCAGTCGTTACCACACAGTTGAGGGCTCTCAGTCATGAGGGATGCTCTGCAATGTCTGGACATAGCCAGCAGCTGTTTGATGCCCCTGCACCTTCTGAAGCTCTGTTGTTCCACTGAAGGAAAAAGCACCCAAACCATTATAGTGCCCCCTTTACTGCGAAAATTTGAAAATTAAATTGTTTTATGATAATTAAGTAAAGGTCACATTAAAATGTGAAAATTGATCTGTTAAATTAACTTTTTTTGTTTTTTGCTTTAGAAACCTGGAATTACAGCTACTTTGCTAATTTTTTTAAGTGAAAATGTGCTACATTTGACATTTATTACATTTATTTGGTGCATATTGTTGAAAAATGTCAGTTTCTTATTCACTGGTTAGTGACTGGCTATGTAGTGATGGGTTTTATGTAGGAGTACCACTGCTTTCTATGTCCAACCTTTCATTCGATACATCTTTAAATGCTATTTCATGTAATCAAGTTTGGGGGGTTTTATTAGCTGCCTTTTTTTGGTAAACAACTTCTTTATTGTAATTTTGTGCTATCTATTGATAAGGGTTTTTCTGTGTTACTGGAAGGTCTTTACCTAAATTATCAAGTGCCTTGAGGTGACTGCAATTTTGCACGACAGAAAATAAAAGTTGAACATGTACCTTACAGAGGACTGCCTGAAGACACGATCACATCTGGGTAAGAGTGAAGACAACTCAAATTTATCATTTATGGTTTTTGTAATTGTCAGTTGAGTTCAGTATGAATGCGTATAAATTGTTATACGCTTTCATATAACAGTTGCATGTGTTGAGGTGGATGCAGCTGGCAGGTAGACCCTCATTGTTTTTAATACATACAAAGTTCAGTGTCTGATTTGTAATTGGTTGAGTACAATTGCATAAGAAAAGTGTCATGGATGCTACAAAATTGTATTTGCAGAAAATTAAAAAGTCCCAAAAGAATTAAAAATGGTTCCCAAAATGTGTGCATTTATAAATCTTTTGTTAAAATGTGTTGTATTAAATATAAACTGAATCAAGTATGAGGAAAACGTTTGTTTTTCTAAGTAATACTAAAGTAGTTTCCTTTGGATGTTTCCATGATTTTAAAAAAAAAGTAATCTTTTGATATTCTATAACTTACTCAGACTCAAAATCTCATTTCCAAGAGAGACCTGGACCTGAAATAAGATTAAATGAATCACATTAAGAAACTCCCCTTCCAAACATAAACTTTAACCATTTTTCAAACACAAACACAAACAGATCCTAGTTAGTGAAGTGAAGTGGAACTCGTGTCACATGGAAGACCAGGTTCCCTGAAGGGGAGTGAGAAGTATCCCTTGCTTTTTTTGCGGCTCAGAAAGTAGAGCAGGAAGGTTTTAATTGGAAGGTTCGTGGCTCAATCCCGATCTGTCAAATATCGTTGGGCAAGATACAAATCTCAAGTTGATCTCTGAATTCATGAGTTATAGTATGAATCAGTGGCGGCTCCTGAAAAAAATCTCAGGGGGGGCAATTTTTATGATATCGACTAAAATGACCCATTTAATGAGTACATCAAACAACACAAT